TAATATTGAGAAAAAACTATTTGTTATTACTATTTTTTAAAAATATACTAAAAAGCAATTTAGAAAAAAATATTCATACCTCCATAATTATACCAAACAAATATTATATAATGTGAATAAAGTTAAACTAATTTCAAGTTTTATACCCATAACAATAAAATATTTATTTTAAATATACATTTTGTCCATGAAAATATTTATTAGAGGTATTATAATGAATAAAAATAATAATAATATAAGATAGTAAATGATATAAATTTTACCAAAACTCTATTTAAATTTAGTTATTATTTGAAATACGATAAAAATTTAATATAAAGCTTAAATAAGTCACCATAAAAATTGCAGTAGTATATTCATGTTTGAATTTAATTTGTGAATATGAAACCAAATTTTGACCTGTCTCAACCCATACCACGGGAATGGCGTGTAAGTGGTGCTGATAGTCATGTCTATCGGATAGGGTTATCGCTATTTAACACTCAATACTATCACACAAACAGACGTCCACTCTATCATCCATTATTCGTATTCATTGCATTGGTTTTAATAATATTGAAAAGTTTTGCCGCACTTTACTTATGTATCATAAATCCTAAATATTATATTAAGTATAACTACTACTTTGGTGATCAGTGTGACCAACCGTCCTCTATTGGAGAGGACAGTCCTCTATTTAGGGAGTCTGTCCTCTGTGCTTTAAATGAGAAATAGTGGACATTGAATGTCCTTTATTTGTGAAAATTATAAAATGCCTTATTTAGAAATATAATTGGAACATAAAACTGTTATGTAAATTGCCTTTCACATTATGATCATAATAAAATACATTATCATTTAACTAAATTTCATTTATGTGCAGCAAATTTATATGAATATATGTAAAAACTAATGACAAAATTAGTCAAAAATTTCTGCTGTTAGTGATATCAGCAGAAAAAATATTTTCAAAAAATTGTAATTCAATTCCACTATAAAATATGTTGTCCACTATTTCTCATTTAAAGCACAGAGGACAGACACCCTAAATAGAGGACTGTCCTCTCAAATAAAGGACNAAATTGTAATTCAATTCCACTATAAAATATGTTGTCCACTATTTGTCCTCTATTTATTCAATTATTTTATCAAAATGTCCACTAATTACGAAACTTGAGTTGGTCACACTGTTGGTGATCTTGATTATAGCCTGAATACTGGAAATACATCAAAAATATTGCTAATATTATCATGCTTAATTGCAGTTGGTTCACAATTATTGAATTATTATAATTACAGAAATGGTATAAAACCCACAGATTTGAGAGTATTTCAAATGATCGGGGGTTTAATTACACCTAAATATATCCAGATCAATGACTGTCTCTTGGTAATCAAACTTTGCACAATTACCCGGAACCTTTTATGTTTTTCATATTACTTTTCATATTTCATGTGTATTGCAACCACATTATATGCCATAATAGGGTTGTGGCAAATAAATGATACCACACTTTTAATTATAGTTGGCATCCCACATATTATACATTATGCAATGTTTGGACAGTACATGTGTAATATACTAATCTATCAAACGGTTTATTATTTTATAATTACATTTTATTTAAAATCAAAACTCAAAGCAATTAATATGTTAATCAGAGATCGTATGCGAAAAACACACAAATTTGCGAATAATATGTTTGTCACGAAAACTATACGGGAATTGAATGCAGTTTATATGGAAATCAATGAATATAACAGTCGTTATTGGTCTAGATATTTATTTTTAATCTGGATGCTATTCGTAATAATGATACCCTATTTAATTCTGTATCAACGAGTCAATAAATCTTTTTATTTAAAAGTTTTTCATATCATTGGTGTTATGACTTGTTTAATTGTATTATCACTGATAATTGAAATATCCTCGGCGCTTTACATAGAAGCTAATAAAACTTATATTGTATTAAATTCACACCTTGCATACATCACTCGTAAATATCACATTCAATACAATAATAAATTAAAGGTAAAACATTTTTAATATATCACTATGCTAATAATTATAAGTATATGAAATGAAAGTTTATAGTTTACTCGCTTTATATATAAACCTAACCTAGAATACAATAATATTACCTATGCCCTTACTAATATTACTCTCTCTCTCTCTCTCTCTCTCTCTCTCTCTCTCTAAAATAAAAATGTTTGTATTATTTCTATAGTTATCATCATTTGTGGAGAGAATTGGTGTGAAAAGGATTGGCTTTTATTGTCACAAACTATTCATTATAAACACATTCAGGGGATACGAGGTATGCATATACTTATCCTTTTATAACATTAAATTATAACTTATAATGATTATTATTTTATATTTATTTTTTTTGATTTAATTTACAGATTGTATCACTCATTGCATTAATGTTTCTAAAGATTTATTAACCATTATAAATAATAAAATACAGCATCACTATACAATTTAACTAAAATTAAGTGAAAATTATTTACATAGCTGACTCACAAAAATTAATCACATAAATATATCATACGGAACTGTGCTAGGTACACATAAATACTGTTTACGAATACAAATAAATCACGAATAACTGCCATCGGAGTAAATATCGGCCAACGCGGCAAACCTGGGCCCCAACCTACTCAGGGTATACTCAAAGTCCTGTTCCCCGTCACTGAACCCGGACCCTAGTGAACTGAGCGAGCTAATCGTACTGCCACCGCCCTCGTAACTATAGCCACGTAGGTCATCATCAGCCGGGCCATCAAACTGTTCATGGTGAGCAGCCATTTGTTCAAGGTTATTTTTGATAATATGGCCGACCTGGGGGTCTAGTGTAGTGGTCTCGACGGGGGCTGAATAGTCGGCGCTATCCTGGTGTTGGACAACGGGGAATGTTTGCCTATAGTAGACATCTTTGACCTGGACAGGTTTGTCGTGCTCAGATTCAGCAGGGTTCACTGTGGACGTGTCGCTACGAAAACTGTTTGTACGCCACGTGCCGTTGTCGTTGATGTCTAGTTTACCATCTAATATATGTTAAGCAAAAACAATATTAGTTTACTGTTCAAGCTGATTTTCATAAAAATAGAAATAGCGGAATTTAAATAAACCAATATTTGTCTAATTCTAACTATTTATAAATTTTTTGAAATTTATATTTAAAATTTACAGTTTTGTTATCTAGTAGAATAGCATGTTTTGTGCCCAGTGCCATTGTACGAGTTTTTAGGTATAATATTAATAATAAAAAATTAAATATTATAATATAATATTTGAATTGTTTCTCAACATTTTGCTAAACTTCATACAGTATTATTCCCTAATGATTGACATTTATTATTGATTAGTTTATCAAATGTTATTTACTCAAACATGTTAAATTATATTGCAAAATATACCACTAATTAAAAAATATCCATAATCAGAACGAGATAAATTTATTTTTAAATTAATCAAATTAAGCACAATGAGTAATTATTAAAAAAAAAATAAATTGCTTTATGTTAAAAACTATATATTTAATACCCAAAATAATTATAAAATTAATTATTATTTACATATAATTATTATTATTTAATTACAGCTATAATAAAATATACAATTTAATTTGTCAAGGTAACACCAACCTATTGACATATCATTGTCATGTCTAATATGATGTCCATCATTAAGCTCCGGGTCAGTTTCTCTATGGCGGCGCTTATTATTTATATACAAGTATATGACCAGGCCCAATATAATAAAATTAATCGAGCCTACTATTATAGCTATAATAGCACCTGGATCAATACTTTGGTCATTCATATTGTATCAATGGTCGGTCAGTGCACAGGTAGACCACCCGTACTCGCGTAATGGGACGGCTATTACAGCATATATTTTACATAACAATTGTATGAGTAAACTGTAACACAAACACACAATGAAATGTCTGTCCCTTTGCGATATAACTGATAAAAACTGATAACTATTTTATAAACAGTAAATAAATTTCTAATTTAACCATGCTAAATTATTTTTAAGTTAATTAGGTCATTAGCTATATTAAATTAAATACTTATTTACGTAACTATATAAACAATTTAAACTTAGTAGCACAATTAATTATTGTAAATTTAGATATCCATGTAAATATTACCGCAAGTATACGGTATATTAATACAAACAGGTATGTAACGGTTTAATTTCAATTGTGATAGGCAATGCGCCAAGGTAACCAGGGTTATCTAATCTAGGAATTCATATTGAACAATGTTGTTTCCTTGTATCAAATGCACTGTTAATAAATTTATAATGAAATATATTTATAAGAAAAATGTGTTAACTCTATGGCAATGAGTTTTATCGCAAGTATTGACATTAATTTAGTTTTATTACATTAAACCGCTATTTGTTTTCGTAATCATAAGTTTGGTTTAATATGAAATATTTTTACAGATTTATTTGGGATTATATTTTATTACAATAATTTTACAATAATTACATAATAAATATATCATGTTACAATAACAATATTAATTCAATATTAAATGTTATGAATAATATTGTACTATATAAATAATAATAAATATTTAAATATTTAAAATAAACTATGCACAATTGTTTATAATTTTATTTTAAACCAACAATTTTAATAATATAATTTTCACAATTATATGTTAATTTAAAATACCCAGATTAAATTCTAAAATTTTTAAAATAATTAAAATATATTTTAATATAAAATATTTATATAATATTTAATTTAAAATTAATTAAATTATAAAATCTATACAGTATATGATGTATAAATTTTTGTGGTGTATAAAATGAATAATTTTAAACAATGTTAAAGTTTATAAATAAAATACTTTTCATTTTTCACAGAATATTCCTATTATAATATTATATACTTTTAAAGTTTATTATCTGGAAACAACATAATTATCAAGCTTATTATACTTATTTTTATTATAATGAAATTAAACTTTATTAATTAAATTAAATTCGCACCCTTATACCACAAAAGTATCATAAGAGATGCTATCTAATACAAATTAAAAAAAACAAATTAAATATAAATGATAAAATTAAACAATTAAAAACAAACACTAACAATATATACTTTTACAAAATATTAAAAAATGAGAAAACAATTTATGTGAAATAAAAGCACAGGGATTTGATGGCCAAATTAAATTCGCGTTAATAACCGCCATCTTAAAAATTTCACGTTCGGAGTCATATCCCCTGCAATCAAATATACGATGATTCATATCGTCCGCCCCGTGTCCACACTTTTCGCAAGTCTGAGATTCCCTCAAATGAAAACGTTTTAAATAATAGTTATTATTACCGTGATTTGTAAGTGCCTGACAAACATAAAAGTCATGAGTAAATACACGTTTAACTTTTAATCTATCAGTAATATGTGGGAAAATAAATAAAGCTTATTATACTGAAACAAGTATAATGTTGAGCATGTCCAACTCGTAATTAACATGGTCATTATTATTATTAAATTGTTTCCACTCACGGAACTGGCTACAAATATTATCGACAATACTATTACGTTTATAAATGGTTATTTGTGTCCAGCAGAATAATAAAATAAAGCATAAAATAGCACACGAGCTGCAATAATTTTGTAATCAGTATTAGGTTGTATAAAAAATAACACAAAAATAATTAATAAAAATAAAATATTTTCAAAAGGAAATATATTTATTCATTAGACTCTGAAAGTGAATTATTATAATTAATGCTACTTATACATAAATAATGTCAGTTTAATATGGCGTAAAAAAATAAATGTTTGTCGCTCACGATATTTAACTACTATATACGCTATCAACAACGATAGAGAAAGTATTATCAAAAGTACCTTGATGATTAGAAGTAGTATACCTTGATACGTTTGCAATATAGCTACTATTTGTATGAAAAATAACATCATTGCTGTGACCGTTATTCCCGTGAATATATGGCCCGCAGTTGAGTCCAAATATTATAAAAATATTTTCGAGCATGTTAATTATAATTAGTTTTGTTAATAATATTAAAATTTAATTTAATTATAGATTTCTAAATCAAATAAGTTCAATGTTTTATTTTTTATTAAAAATTATTAGTTCGCTAGATATGCTGAAACTTTTGAATATGTTTTTAATATGATTTGGAAAGGTGATTTAATTTACATAATTAATATTTATTAATTTATGAGTATAAATGGATTATATTAGTAATTATTATAAGTATTTATATAAATAATCACACTGTGTATGAATTATTATAAACATGAAGTATGTAGCACGTTTTAAAAAATATTTTTGTATAAAATACAATAAAATTATTTTTTATATAAAATAGATGACTATACAGTATTTGTAAAATGTTAACTCACAATTTATAAATAAAAATTCATACTAGTATAATCAAAAATAAAAAACTTATTATGCTGAAATATTCATACAAAAATCTATTTCACAAATTAAATGAACTGTTAGATTTAAATAAAAATTTGATCGAATTAAATTTTAAATTTTTAAAATTAACTAAGCTGCTATGATTAACTTAGGACAGTTAATATAAACATTTTTCTAAGTCGGTATTCACATATGTATTAACTATGTAATTTAAGCTAGTAATTCATATGTGAACACCTACTTAAGAAATGGTTGATATTAACTGACAACGTCATAATGAATACTGTATAATGGTAAATATTTTATACTGTACTTAATAGTGTATAGTTATATATAAAGTAGTAAATATAGAAATAATGGTGCACCTAAAAAGTTATATGTAAATATTTTAAATTGTATAACTTCTTATTAATTATGTACTTAATATAAATACATTATTCTATTCTTAGCCTACTCAATTTAACAAGGAATTCATATAAATAATTAAAATAAGCTTACGCTAAAAATAGGTTTTTAAACGTTAACTGGAAACTTTCATTAGAAAAAAGTTTATTAATTTTATAAACTAATTAATAGTTAATTATTTAAATTTTATTAATAAAATGTACCTTAAAACAAATTTAAAATTTAAAACTTTTATTAAAAAAATTACTTTTTATGAATTATTACTGAAATCAATGTACAGTTATAACTCCAACTACAGTCTAAAAAACTAAAATATATCTTACAGATTTAATTTGTAAATATACTATTAAAAACTCTGAGAAAATTTTATTTAGCAAGTGAAATCATATAAATTTAGTAATATAAAGATTTCTATAAAAAAAATATTTTTGGTATGTTACATTAAATTCAATAACATGCTTTTATGAATATATACATTTAATAATACATTTCATTTACTATAAGTAAATAAAATTTAAGAAATATATTTTAATTTGTTAAATCAATATGTTATGATGGATGAAATTGTCATAAGTATTTTTGATATTCATCTAACTTTGATATATAAATCTAAATTTTTATTTACTATTCTAATATTTATTATTAATATTTTGAGAAAATGTTATTTGAATAAGAAATCATATAAAAAATTATCATATTATACAATACGATATATGAATGTGGTACAAATCTACAATATATTTTTTAGATAATATAACCAATAGTTTTATTCATTTTGAAACATATTGACAATTGTATCAAGCACATCCAGCTCTATGCTGATACAGTCATTATCAGTAAATTGTTTCAAACTATTTAATTCGACACAAAGTATGTCCACAATCTTGCCCTTGAAATAAATTGTCAATTGTGTCCACCAGAAAAATACCGATATTAGTATTGGCACTAATGTAAGGAATACCAATAGATTATAATCTATATTTGCAGGGTCAATTAGTATCACCACAAATAATGAATGATAAATGAGTATGCAAAAATAATTAAGACAATTGAAATAGTTGGCGTAGTTTATGTTTTTATTCATTAATGTCCGAAAGCGAATAAATGTGTGAATATTTTGTTGGACGTTAATTATGTCGGCGTTTGTGGGTAGGTGGTTTAAGTTGAAATTATAATTTTTAAATATTTCTTGTATTTCTAAAATGTTTAAAAATGTCATACGAACTTCGAAATACATTAATTGTAATACCGTGTACCAGCCCGTAGTGTGGAATGCCATAAATATCATCCTTTCATCAAATTTTATCGGTACGTACTTTATGGAAAATAATTTATTAATTTCAATATTTCGATAACTATATGCACAATATCCACACACAAACAGGTTCAAAAAAATTGAACTACATTGCAATATTATGTTATTAGGGTTGTCAGTATTCATTAATAAATTATGTGATTTGAGCTCGGTGTAATAATGAAATATTTGTCGTTCGCGGTATTTTAATATTACGAATGAAATGAGTAGTGAGAGCGAAATGATTAATACGAATATTTTCGCTATATTTATTATAATATCATGCTCACGTGATAACGATAAAACAGTTTGCATGAAAAATACAAAAAGTACCGTGATTGTAATTCCGGTAAATAAATGTCCCACAGTTTTGTTATGACAGTTCAAACCAAATATGGTTAACACGTATTCAAACATTTTATTATATAATAATAAGTCAAATATTTTAATTTTTAAATAAAATATAACACACAAACAATTTTTAATTTAATTTATTTAAAAGACTTTTATTTAATTATTTAAGATATTATTATTGACGTAAATTTTGTGCTGCTAATACAGTCTATAAATTTATATAACTAAATATACCTTACAAGTTTTGATAGCAAATGAAATCATACAAATTATTACTATAAGAATTCTATATAAGAAATATTTTTAATATGTAACATTAAATTCAATAACATGTCTGATCTTTCAAA